GTTTAAGGCAACTCCGCACTTCACAAGTCGACATGTATATATATTTTTTGTTTCGTAAAAATGGGTTTTTGCAAAAATATTGGGCATTGGGACCAATGTGTAATGTCGGAATGGGTTACTTATGTGGTGCTGTGTATGCAAAAACACCCGAGAGAACTATAGCTTGTTGAAGCCGTTTTGACCAAACAAAGAATAAGTAAGGCGAGGCCGTTTTGACCAATCAAAGAATAAGTATAGCGAGGGGATTGCGGAGGCAGATCTGTCGTCGAACCTGGGCTGTTGCCTAGCCAAATGACATGGAGAGGGGCTCGCGGGGAAGGGTCCTCCGTTAAGACAAATAAGAATATAAGAACAACAAATTGCCGCTGCAATGCACGAGTGGCGGTGTCGGTGGAGTGGGGAAACGATAAAAAAAATAAGACTGCTGCGAAGCTAACTCGAAAAATTCAAGTATATGCAAAGATATATATAAAATCGAAATTAAATGCACACAATTAAACAGAGCAATGTATTGGTTACTTGTAACGTGGATGTCGTTAGATTTTTTTCCTTATATCGTTAGGTTCCCATATTCGGTGTTAGATTTTATAGACAAAAATTTGCAATTTATTGCAATTTTCACAGAGGCACATTCGCAACGAATCCTTTATTGACCAACTGTATACATATATGTACATATGTGTAAAAAGTGGTTAACGAAATTCTGAAACTTCTATTATGAAGACAAAACCTTCATGTTGGGAGATTCCGCTTTGTAGGACCTGATCGATTAATATGCATGTCAGATGTAACAAAAACATGGGGTATCGTTATGGTGGTTCAGACATGGGTGACCTCGAACAATAATTTCTTGCTAGGTATTTGATATCAGTAATTTCATAACAAATATACCCAGAATGCAAAAATACCCCCGAATACAAAAGCGTTGATCACAGCAAAACACTGTTTTCCCCAAGAACAATACAGAATTGAAAAACATGAGCACTTTCTTGAGCACATGTGCCAAACGTCCAATTATTTTTTATTCTGAGACTTTGCAATGTTATATGTATTTTTACCTAGTCTATTATTAATAATGCAAATTTTATTGAATGGTAACAAATTTTTTTTAAGTTAAACTTAACAGAATGTTTTTACTTTTGCATGCAATTTATATGAAGTTCGATTTCAATGTGTAAAGAGTTTACAGACATTCATATGTGTGTACAATATCTCTTGTGTTGTTTTTAATTTACCTTATTCAGGATAATATTTATTAGATATAGATAAGTCTTTTCCGTCATATGTAACGCCCTCATACAAGAACTTTCGGTTTGAGCGACATTGAGGCCCACACCTAGTGGAGCCACAGTTGCGACATTCATACCAGCAACCACCACATTCTTGATTCATACAGTCGCCTGAAACATACCATTTTTATTTTTCATTTAAACTTATAGTTTTACCTACAAATGTTTAGCCCGTTGAAGCGGATAATTCCGTATTCGTCATATACGCTATTTTTACCAATGTTGTGTCCTTTCTTTCCTTTTTTTTTACTTTTTTCGGAATTTGTTCTCACATCTTCATTAGTTACGCATATTTCCAGCACTAATGCTCGATGCTCGTCTGATTCTGAGGATTGAAATACCCTTTTCGCTTGCGCTTGATGTGTATATCGGCCAATTGCATTTTGCGTTGGGGGCATATTTTTTCGAAACAAATGCGTTCGTCAATTAAAAAAATATAAACAAAAATAAATTAAAACCAAAAACTTAAATTATTATATAATAATTATATATTAAAATCCATATGTATCAACATCCACAGAGACAAATCTCTTTCAATAAATATAGTTTCCAATTTACTTTGTATTAAAATGTTAAGTAGACCTTTTGAAATCTTACTTCAAAATGTGCTTTATTTAGCCTCGCCAAAAAGTCAACGTTTCTGATCAACGAACAGCATACTTACTGGGCTACCAAATTTAGGAGGGCAGCAATTTCAGTAAAGAAATTGCGATTTTAAATGCAACGTATATTATTCTAAGGAGATATATATTGTCGATTATCAAAATATTGTTATCGATAGTTTTAAGTCAGTATTAATAGGAAATTTAGTATTTTTTAAGTTATCCGATTTTTGGCCCATTGAAGTACGGACTTATTAATCG